GTACCCCTCAGGGGAAAGTACACCGACGGTAGGTCTCACATGTCAAACTGTCTCTACAGTCCACCAAACCACTCCGTTGCAGGTTAGGTCCGCACACTGAGGCTGTCAGGTCAGTGCTGGTCTCAGATGACGTCCCCATCAATCTTTTGGGAGCAGACATCTTGACAGACATTCAAGCTGTCATTGAGTTCACCCCATCGGGTGTTGTGGCGAGTAGTGCCCTGTCGGAAGACTGCACATTGTCGGCCCTACCTTATCTCACCGAGGCTACATATTGGCTGAAGTTGACCACAAAGTTTGGGCGGTTAATAAAATATGATGTGGGTCTCCTGCCGGTACCTCCAACTACAGTCAACATCAGGCCAGGAAGCGTATTACCACGACTACCACAATACCCTTTAAGTGTAGCCCAAATGGACAGCCTAAAAACCCAGATTGACCATTATCTACAGATAAAAGGTCCTCACCCCAACCCTGTGTAACCCTATTATTCCCAGTAGCCAAAAATACAGCACCAGGTCAACCGACCACCTACCAGCTGGTACATGACATGAAAGCAGTAAACAAAAATCAGTGATGCCCCTTTGGTGCCCAACCCACATACCCTGCTGGCGACCGTACCACCCAATGCTAAATTTTTTACTGTCATTGATCTGTCAAACGCGTTTTTCCTCGGTACCCCTGACCCCCAGTGCCAGTACCTTTTTGCCTTCTCCTTCCAGGGCTGACAACTTACCTGGACCAGTCTCCCCCAGGGGGCGGTAACCAGCCCCTAGGAGTACAGCTGCAAGCTGAAAATCGTGTTAGATCAGTGCACCCCAATGAATCCAGAGGTGGTGTTACAGTATGTCGATTACTTGCTACTTTGCTGTACCACTAAAGAGGATTGTTATCAGCATACTGTTTCATTACTCAAACATCTGGCGTCAATGGGCAACAAGGCCAGCAAGGAAAAACTGCAACTCTGCCAGGAGAAAGTCTTGGGGCATTGTATTTCTCAGGGCACCAGGCACCTAACAACGCAAAGAGTGCAGACACTGCAAGACCTAAAGAGACCCAAAAACCACCGTCAGCTGAGAGCCTTAACTACTGCAGAGATTGGGTCCCCCAACATCTTGGCCAAACTTGGACCTCTGTACGAGCTGACATCCAAAACACCGTTTCAAATATCAGACGACTGGTCAACTCTTCAAGATTTGACCCAGGAACTCTAGAGCACCAGCCCTAGGTCTACCCAACTATGACCAACCTTTCTACCTTTTCTGTCACGAAAGTCAGGGCCATGCAACTGGAGTACTAACCCAACTTCACAGAACCAGGTACCGCCCCATCATGTACCTATCGACTGCTCTGGACCCAGTCATCAAAGGGTCCCCGGGTTGTGTGAGGGCAGTGACTGCTTGTGCTGTCCTTGTCCAAAGTGGGTGACATTGTTTTGGATTCACCTCTCACTCTACACTCGGTGCAAGAGATCCTAAAATCAGGTCCAAACTAAATATCTCTGCAGCAAGATTGACCAAATACGAGGTAGCCCTCCTAACCTCACTATCAAACGATGCACTATTCTTAACCCAGCTTCCCTTCTTCCTGTGTTGGAAGACGAGAAGGGGGGGGGGGGTTGGAGGACAGGAATGACTGTGCTAAAATCTTGCAACCCGACTAATGCTAACCCCTCTTCTGCTAACATGTCTTTTTCCACTACTAACCTCTCTTCCAAAAGGACACGACTGCATTTCTTTGATGGAACTGGAGTCAGCAGCGATCAGCCCGATGGACACGCCACTACTGGAAGCGAAAAATCTTTGTCGATGGGTCCAGGTACTACACCCAAGACTGTAAGCCACACACTGATTACGCGGTCACGACGGAAAGTGACATTGTGGAAAAGGGCTCTTTGAACGCACATATGTCAGCTCAGGAAGCTGAGCTATGGGCACTGGCCAGGGCATGCGAGTTGAATGAAGGTCAGAGGATTAATGTTCATACGGATTCGAGGTATGCGTTTGGTATTGCACATGGCTTTGGTCCCATCTGGAAAGCGAGGGGATTCCTCACCAGTTCAGGTAAACCGGTGAAGCATGCAGAACTGATTGACAGGTTATTCATTGCTTTTGGCCTGCCACGGGAGATAGCTGTTCTTAAGGTGAAGGCTCATACTACTGAGACTAGTGTGGAGGCATGTGGAAACGCTTTGGCAGATCGGTCCGTAAAGGCCGGTGCACTGGTTCAGGAAAGGGGGGTTCTGATGCTTGTCATTCCTTGAGGTTTCGTTAGAAGAGTTTAAAAAGCTGCAATCGCAGGCGGGTTTGCAGGAGAAGGCTAGAGGGACAGCAGCGGGAGCCTCCCAAGGGTCGAATGACATTTGGTGCCTGAACAAAAGATGGTGTTTGCCAAAGTCCCTTTTCCCCATGATGGCCCACTTGGCTCATTACCCTGGGCACCAATCTAAGACGGCTATGTGTGCATTGGTAGACGAGCATAGGATTGCACCTGGGTTCAGTACTGCTGCAGCTACATTTGCAGCTTCTTGCCTAGTTTGTGCCCTACACAACCCTGGTAGAACGGTAGTAACGCCCCAAAGGCACTCACCAAAACCCGAGCGCTCCTTCCAACGCATCCAGATCAATTACATCTTGTTACCAAAGCGTGGGCCGTACGAATACACCTTGGTCTGTGTAGATGTTTTAGGCTGGCCTGAGGCGTGGCCCATTACGTGTACCAATGCTAGTACCACGTCGAAGAAAATCCTGTCTGAGGTTGTGTGCCGCTGGGGTCTACCTGAAACCATCAAGTCCGATAGGGGGTCACACTTCACTGGACAGATCTTTGCAGAGGTATGTAAAGCCTTCACATCAACCAAGGGCTACACACCCCGTATCACCCAGAGTGTAGCGGTAAGGTTGAACGTCTCAACGGAATCCTTAAAAACAGGATCTCCAAAATCATGGCTGATAACCCAAAAACCTTGGCCTGAGTGTCTCCCCATTGCCCTCTATTCCATCCGGAATGCCCATCAGCAACCACATGGGCTGTCACCCTACGAGGTGTTTGAGGAAAGTACAACCCTGTTTTGGCAAGTCCCCCAAACAGTTGTCTTTGCATTCACAGCTTACGTGCAATCTCTGCAACGGTAGCTGCAGAAGATACACCATTGGGTTTTCCCGAATGGCTCCCTGATCCAAATGCAATAACAGGTGTTCTTTCTATTGAGCCAGGTGATTGGGTCGTCCTAAAGAAACAAAGAACCGGACTTGAGCCACGATTCACCGGACCATACCAAGTCCAGCTGACACCTACCTCACTTAAGCTCGAGGGACGAGACAACTGGGTGCACACAAGCCACTGCAAGAAGCTTTTCAGCTACACCAGAGAATGAGGGGTGTCATTTTACTTTGTACGTCTTACGTGTGTGAACGGAGGAAAAGACAGCAGATACCCCAACCTTTTATTTAAAACGCATCTGCGATTAGCCAGAGCCGCCAACAAAACCAACTTTGGGTATGCTCTAAGCCCCCACCCAGTCACACGTCCGCAATGGCCGCTGTTCATGCCCTATATGACATCCGTGTCGGCATGAAAAAGCAAGGGACCCCTGGTTGGCCCCCCACGTAGACATTTGTCTGTAGAACTTAGACACATTTTTAGCAGGTAACATCAGTTTCAGTACCAATATTAGCTCTAGCTCCTGTAGGGCCCTCAAAAGTCCATTATGGGTAACTGGACAGCTAGGCAGCCCTAAGGTGTGCTTTAACATCAGCTTTGGTTAAGGTAACAAGTTTGTTGAGACTACCACCTGCGAGAGAAGTATAACTATCAGACTAACCAGACTTCCCTTCTGAGTAACCACACTGACCGACCAGACCACGTTTGTTGGAAGGACGGATGTGATGTGCAGACTGAGGGAACAATGCCCCAGTATGTGCAACTGTTACTCAGTGCCAGAGGCTGAACAAAGAACTCTTCCTGCTCTGCTAGGTCCATACTATTTTCTGTGTGGTTCGGCAGCCTATAGATTATTTCCCCAGAACGCGAAAGGTTCGTGTGCCCTCATAAAGCTTGTCCCCGCATCCTATGTAGTGATGGATCATGAAGAGTTGATGGTCCACAAGAAGGTAGGGATGGCAGGGAGCTGTTCTGAGGGCAATCAGGCATGGGCTTGGTTCCCCTCATGGACAGGTTGGGGAATAGAACTTATGAAGCGCCTGAACAATTTTTCTGTTATCGTGGATAGTATGTTTAATGAGACCGTAGAGGCGGTCAGAGAAATTCCCCAAGAACAAAACGGCAGATGGGAATTTTAGTGCTTCAGGAGAAGACGGCCCTTGATTACCTTTTAGCCGCCAAAAGGGGGGTTCTGTGAGTTCATCGGAGAGGATTGTTGTACCTGGATAGAAGACACTGATGACAAGGTCCAGGTCCATATGGACAAAGTTAGTGAACTACAGGGAAAAGCTATAGCTAGTGAGGGTTGGAATCCGTTCAAGGGTTTGGAGGATTGGGAGATTTCCTGTTCCACTTCCTGCAACCAAGATCCGATGGAGGAGTGTATGTCCGGATGCTTCTTTTTCCTTTGCCTCTTGTATGCCGCGGTGAGATGTTCCTGTTGCCTCATCAACCGTGTAAGCCAAGCTCGGGCAGACGACCACATCTCCATGCCTGCTCCTGGGATCCCACTCCAACCACTGATCGGAGGAAGACCTCACCAACCAGCCACCTTCTCTGCAGGTTATGTCCTGGCTTCCCTCTAATTTATCTCCCTGAAAACCATGTTCTCCAAGACCTCCAAGCAAGCTTAAAGCCTCATCGTTGTTTGTGTATAAAGCTGCAAGATTGGTTTGTTCCGCCTTTTGGAAACCAGTCTGGGTCGAGACCAGCCTTGTGTGGCCCCGTTTGCAGGGGCAATTTGAGAATCTGCTGCTGGATCTCCCTGTACCACCGTGGGATCACAAGCCGTGTTTATACCAGAAGTCTGGTTCCATTTGCCGGAAGTTTGAAAAAGTTCTGTTTGTGGTTTTTGCAAGAGCCTTCCTGTAATGAAGGCACCAACACACTCTGAGGATCATTGCTTCAATCAAGCCTGTCTGCATCGAATCTTCTTGTTTCAGGTACCCCGTGGAGCTTTATTCTCAGGGACAACTACAGGAACTCTGGTCTAAGACCAACTCTTTAAGGTTTTGAGACTACACATATCAAGCTGAAGATAAAGGGACACAAGGAGAATATGATAAAACAGGAGGTTATGTCATGGAGATTTTCTATTACAGGTTATCCTTTAAATGTGTCATATTAGTGTTATTCATATGTCTTGTGTGGCTTAATTAAAGCTCTGAAGGCTGCAATTAGGCCATGCAAATTTACAATGTATACATTACAGTACTCGGCTCGGTAATGATGAGATGGAAGATCTGCGCTTATAGACCGGCGTGTATGCCGCCACGGCATTCAATGCAAATGCCACCGGCGGTAGGCCGCGGGTCTGTATTCACATATCAGCAGCATAGTACCACATGGACTTCATATGGCCAGGCAGTGCGAACTCCGCATGTAGGCTCATGTACATCTCTACAAGCCGCTACCGACCTGAACTGTATCTGGATGGATGTTTTAATAAAGATCGTATCGGGCCCATTCAGATACAGACTGGCACTGTTTAACCTTTGAATACTGGTTGGAGGCGCAGGAATCGTTGAGCTAAGCTGCAGTCGTGGTAAGCGGAGGGCGCAATACGGTTTCAGCGAAGTTCGCACAGCTTTAAGGGGGATTGATGCGCATCCAACTGCGGGCACTCACGGTAAGGAAAATTCATTGAGAGCAAATTTCCAAGATAATGTGTTATAAAGAAAATCATTTCTAGTCTAGAATATAGTTTTGTTAACCAATTAGTTAGGAATAGTGTGTGATCGTATATTCTCAATTATAGCCGATTATGTTTATGCATTTGTGATCACTGTCCTTGAGTTGAAGGTTGAACCTGTAAAAAGAATGGAGTTATGTGAACCTATAGTATGGGAAGATAACAGTCTAAAGTAAGTTACGTTTATCTGTAATACACTTCAGTTGACAGAAAAACCACACTAAGAACCATATATATGTTTAGAACACTTACAAATATGACTAATACACATTTAGCTCACACTGAATTAGAAAATCTGTATAGTGGGCAGACTTCTTTGGTCTCTTTGACAGTATACAAGGAGGCACTCAAGTCACAGACATACATTGTAAGAAATCAAATTTATAATTCGGCACTTATATCGATGGCAAGCTTGCAAATTATTTGGTTTTTATGATTAATCATTAATATTAATATGGGTGAATGGTCTTGACAAATGGTAGTATTAAAATTCTTCAGATATAGCTGAGACTGAAAAATATGAATAAGTTAAGCTGAGACAGTAAAATAAGACAGGAGTTAGCTGAACTAGTTATCCAGCTGAAGGCTGAGTATTCTATATTTAGGCACAGCTGGTTAAGTCTAATAAAATGTCAAAGGCAGTAGGAGTGACTCAGACTATTAATGTATTTTTTTATAGCATCTGTGTGTATTTAGTATAGGTTTCTAATATTGAGATATAGATATATATAAAATTAATGATTATACATTGATATGTTGTAAAGATATGTTCTTAAGTTATATCATTTAAATATGAATAGCTGAGGTTACATCAGCTTAGAGTATATGTACATCAGCATACATATGTTCCTGTCCATCAAAAATACATTGTGAGTGTCGTTCCCTCCCTTCTATGCCATACAAGGTATTAAGAATCTCTCGCTACGACACTCATTCTGCATAAAAGGTCCATAAGGGACAGGACGGGAGCTCACACACGCTAACACTGACTCTTTCATACATAACACGCACACACGTATGAGAAGCTGGAACAGGTGCTTGCTGCAAGACAAGAGCATCACTTCCATCTATTTCCGGTTTCTTCCCAAAGTCTCGTGAAGGACAAGATGGACGTTGCACATGGTCAGACAGTTATGAAAAATAGTGACTTTAAACTTCTGTTTGATATTTCTACAGTAGTTTTATCTACATGGAACTGTTCATGATACGCTTTACATTGTTATTGTAAGCCATTGTGTGATGAAATAAGTTTTTTTTTTTTTTTTTTTTTTATTCTAACGGCTCTTTCAGTCATAATAGCCTCAAGACATTAAAAGTAGTAATATATGTGTCTACAATCCACCACACACTGAAGCTGACAGACATTTTTGTTTAAGGCCTACAAGCCTTGATACTTACATTTATTTTCTTCCCCGACAAAACTGAAATACTTTCAATTTACCATTTCACAATAGAACAGGCAAGAAGCTTGATATTTTTCTAAAGCTTATCAGGTCTATAAGCTACAACTTATTATATTTTAGTTTATATTTTGTATTCATTTTATGTTGCCAAGTGTGAAATAAAAGTCAGTTTTAGATCAGCCTGGTACTAGAACACTTTACCTCAAATGCCTAAGAAGGACACTTAAACGTAAGTGCCACAATATTTAATATCTTGGCTAAGCCAGCCTCTGCCACAGTTTCTTCGGTTTTCCCATTTCCTTGATAAGGGGCAGAGAACAGTTCTGCAACTGATCAAGTCTGGGAAACACAGTAAAGAACCTAGAGACAAGGTGTTTGTTTCATCAGACGTGGACAAGAGGTCCAGTGACTGAGCTGGCTGTAAAAAAGAAAATCTGATTATGGCGAGTAAAAAAAAAAAGTCATGGATTTTTCTGAGAAACTAGCTATAGAAAGTAAGTTAGAGTTTAAAGGATAGTTTCTTTATATCCTGATGGACATTTATGGCAATACATGTACAATGAATATTTACAGGTCAGTATTCAGATAGATAAATCTGAATTTACTGTAAACAAACAGCATAAAAAAAAATAACTTAAAGTTGGTAAGAATATTCAACAAAATGATTTTGAATGTTGACTTACCTGCTAAAAAATGTACACTAAAGCAGACAGAATGTAACACTGTACAGAATACAGCAATGTCCCACGATTCTGAATTGTCCAAACTGAAATTGTGTCATTACATAGAGAACCTTGAGGAACAAATTGACTCCAGAACAGAGCTTTTGGCAAGATTCCAAAAGTACAGTAAACGGGTTGCTGTAACAAAAAGTGACACAAAAAGACTGATTCTAAAAAGTCAAAGCCCCAAGCTTCCAGCATTCCTGAAATAGGGGAGGCTGAAGCAGATGACGAAACAGAAGTCAGAAAGAAACTACTAGACCGTGCAGCTAAATTAAAATTACAAATACATGATCAATTACAATTTTAAAAGACATCCCAGCATATGACTCAAAGACAGATGCTTCTTATAACATGGATATCTTCAAGTCTTACAGATAGTTATCACCTTACGGACAAACAGCATAACCGCATCTATTATCGTTGGCTCCCTGCACATTTTGCCAGACGACTTGTAAATCACCTGTTGAAGGTCAGGAGATGCATAGTGACGCATCAGACATTACAACAATTGTTATGTACCACTGGTGAGGAAGTAACCTTCTTAGAAGTGCTAGACCCATTACAGACAAGTTAGAGAGAACCCTTTTTGAATTTAAAAATTAAATTCTCAAAGGTCATGCAAAATGGTCTTTGGTGTAGATGATCAAAACTATACAGGTATGATAAAAGCATTTGTAAAAAAAGTAAATAAATTGATCTGTCAATAGCTATTGTGCAAGATAAAAATTGACGGAAGCTTGTTCTTTCATTGATAAAAATTAGAGCCATCAAGTCTAAGATGCTCTAATTAAAAATGACACTTTAAATAGGAAAGGTCAGACTACAGGCAAGACGGGAATGATTTCCCTTAGTAAAGCGACAGGTGCAAGCAAGTGAGCCAATAACGTGTTACTACTGTCAAAAACCAGGACATTTAAAATGGAAGTGAAAAAAATTCTTAAAGGATGTGCAGATAAAGGATTCAATATATTTAGGTAAAGAAAATGGACTTCTCTTGAACCATCTGTTCCTCTTTGAAAGACTCCTCCTTATGCTCCTCTGATAAAACGAAATGAGTGGTCAGCAGCACTATGACTGAAAAGAACTTGCAGTCAACTACTTAATTCAGCTACATTGCCTACTCTGACTAGAGAAGGAAAAAAAAAAAAAAAAAAAAAAAAAAAAAAAAAAAAAGAAGGTCTCATTATCTAGAATATGTAACACCAAAATGTCTAGATAAATGGATGCCCTTACATTAAAGCAAAATTGAAAGGACAAAAGCTTAAGTTTCTCATTGATACAGGTGCTGAAATCTCCATTACTGGTGTAAGATTACCTCTTGACAGATGCAGCAGTATGTACAGTTGTTGGATTTAATGTATCAGGTAACCTGAAAGCTTCAATGTGTAAAAAAGGTTATTTGAAGTCCCTGATTTGAATACAGAGATTGATATTTGGTATTGTCAAGGTGCAGAGAACATTAGGACAGATTCAAAAAAAAAAAAAAAAAAAAAAAAAAAAAAAAAGGTTGGATAAATGACCTTGGCAATGGCATTGTATGGAAAGTTTCCATTAATCGTACTACTGTGGTAATTCACACAGCAGATTACTGTGAGGTTGGCAGCATCTAACAGAAGTGATTGCTGCAGACCATAAATTGCCAGATAGTGGTGATAAACAATTAGAATTGCTCAAATCATACAAAAATCTTTGGAGCCAAGGCAAAAATGATGAAGCATGTCTATTTAAAGACATAGCATTAGACGTGCAAGGCAAGGATCCACCCCCACAGAAGCAATACAAATTGCCAGACTATTGAACCAGTATCAATAGTCATACAGGAACTTCTGCAACAAGTTATCAGGAAAACAAATTCTGTAACAAATAATCCATTATGGGTAGTACCTAAACATGATGACCCTAAATCATTCAGGCTTCTGCTAGATCTCAGAATGCTGAATAAATATACCACAAGTTGTGCCCCAATAGTGGCAGATACACCTGATGTCCTAAATCAGGCATGTCCAAAGTCCGGCCCGCGGGCCATTTACGGCCCGGGGGTCGGTTTAATATAGCCCTCCAACAGCCCTCCCTGCTCTGTGTAATGTGGCCCTCCCTTCTATGGCAGACAGTCTTCTGCTTGAGAGCAGAGGGCAGTGTGCATGCCTGACTGCGGCGCATTCTCCCTGGTCTGTGTAAATGCGGCTGTCGCACGGCCCTCCCTTCTGTGGCAGACAGTCTTCTGCTTGAGAGCAGTGCGCATGCGTGACTGCGCCGTGCTGGGAGCGACAGAGGGCAGTGACGTCAGGGCCGGGCTTCCAGCGTGAAGTGTGTTTATCTTCCCCTCCCGGCTGCCGAGCA